AGAATGGGCAGAAATGATGAGCTGTGCAGAAAAAGCTACTCAAGGAAGACATTTTCAAAATCGCCCTCTTTTCAATGGTATGTTACCCCTAAATTAGGGTTCGGGGAGTGCGCCAGGGTAGGGTTAGGGCAATGGTGGTGAACCTATGGCATGTATGCCACAGTGGGCACACAGAGCCCTTTCTGTCAGCACACAAGCCAAGTCACCCCAGCATCACCCCAGCAGCCGAGCATCGGATAACAGCACACACAGGGGCCATGCGCATGCTCAGAAAGGAGTAGAGGTGCCAGGTAATGACGTCATGAGCCACAACTCATTAGCCGCGTCTCGTCTGAGCTTTTGCATGGCTGGTCAATATGCTGCCAAGGATATATATATGTATTTGCTTGGACTTGCTGTGAGTTGTTTTTTCTAAATTAAAACCTCAGTTTTCAGGTTTTATTGCAGTGCTGGCCCTTTGCGATAAATAAGCGGGTTTTGGGTTGCTGTCTGGGCACTCGGTCTCTAAAAGGTTCGCCATCACTGGCCTATGGTTTAGGGGATCTGGGTTCTAGTTCCATTTAGCCATGAAACTCTCCGGGTGACTGAGCCAGTTACCGTCAGCCTAACCTACCTCATACGGTTGTTGTTAGGACAAACTGCCTTGGCTACCTTGAAAGAAATAAAAGGGAGCATCTCAATATAATAATAAATAAAGTCACATCCACTTCACTATTTTTTTAATGGCTCAATAACCAGCCATTTACTTGGAGGAGCAATGTTTTAAATACTTTGGCATACGTGTACCCAGGCAAGTAGGGCAAGCTGTCAAACTCCATTTAGACAGATTCAGGCTGAGTCAACTGGGCAAATATAGCAGTGAACCTCTGGGGGGAAACAAATGCCCTAAGAATGAGATAATCCTACAAGATATCTTATTTATGTAGACGTTTTCTGTCCTACGGCAGAAAGGAGCAAATCCATACATTGCAGTTATTCAGATTGCAACTACCTGTAAAGTTAGGTGGTGGTGCTCTGTCTCGTTTACGTACGCCTCGTATCCCTTGCCCACCGTCCCAGGCCAATCACTGGAGGAGAAACAAAAGTGCTGACTGCCAGAACGGGCTGCCTGAGAAACATTTGCTTTCGTGCCGTTGCGGAAATGAAAGCACCGGGATCATCTCACATCCAGCACTGGACAGATCTGGTGGTAACGCTTTGGGCCATGGAGGGGCGCCAAACAGCAGCATCCGTTTGGCCTTCCACCCATTGCAAAGTCAAGTCACTGTAATGCGAATACTTGCAACCTTCTAGACTTGCAGGATTGCAGGCATCCGGTCCAGCACAGAAGAGCGTGGAGGCACCCGCGGCTTCCATGCTTGTGCTGCCCTGCAGAGGCTGCTTGCGTCGTCTGTGCCTGCAAGAGTCACGCTCCTCCCCTCTCTGTCCTCCACAACACACATTCGACTTTGGGCCGCAGCTGTTACGGAAAGAACTAGGTCAGTGAGTGGGAGAGGTGCTGCAAGGTGGAAGCCCCAGCTGTGACTTCAGAACACACATCTAGGGTCAGAGCTGCAGTTCTGATCTGCTATAACGTGGACATCCAGACAGCCCTGTCGGGGGAACCCACACATTCCAACAGGCCGCAAGCCCATCATTTGGAAGGCATGGACTGGCAGGGGTGCTTGACAGCTGGCTATCCCAACGGTTTTCGGAGAATCATACTTTCGATTTATTCCACGCTCATCAAGATGAATTTGAGCGCAGCCATATGGCAATGCACACCACTCGGGCATTTCTGGCTTTGGCCCAGATGTGCTGAGTGCAGCCAGTTTCCCCACATCTGCTACAAACATGGAAAAGCTTCGAAGAACTTTGAAGATCGATGTATTTCTTTTACGCTACTGCTAGGTTGCAGAAGACTGACTGAACAGAAAGTCCCTCTGTTCCTATATCTAGTGGTTGTGAAGGCATATTCATACCTGATCTGCTCTACCTGTAGGCATATTCATGACCTGCCTTGATGCACTGTTTTTCTTTTTTACTCAGTCCTGAAAATGTGCTGGGGCCTTTATATATTCTGGAACATTATATATATATATATATATATATATATATATATATAATAACAGCAGTATTGAATGGCCAGAAACATGAAGAAAATAAAGTGTTTATTTGATGCCTTTCCACCAAGGAAATGGTACTCCAGATGGCAATTAATGATAATAAAAATAAACTAAATATTAAAATTAAAATGTAGTTAAACTATCAAAAAAACACAGTTTAAAACACTTGAATTCCTTCTGACACTTGGGATTCATGTGTATACTACACGGATTAAAGGGTATTATTCCTTCAGTAGTAGTACACTAAGGATTTATTTATAATAAAATAATATTTTAATAATCTAGCTCTGTTTCATTACTGTACAGCTTTCATACATTATGTGCATTAGGGATGGAGGTGAGACGGGAGAACTAAATTTAAATCAGGTGTACACTACATACAATCCTCTCTCAGTTAAGATGATCAGAACATCTTCTTTTAGGCTGCTTCTGCAAAGTTACTGAATAAAATTCAAGTTTTAAAAATAACCAGTGAGCCTTAACTGATGGGCTCCAGATGCGTTGGATCGCAGCTCATACAATTCTCAGTCTATGCACATCTGGAGAGGACCAGATTGGGGAAGGCTGGGTCAGGTGCCTTGTGGTGCTGACACAAACATCCATCGAAGAAACCCTTGTAAAGCCTTATGAAGTTTAGATCAGAAGGTGTCGGGAAACAGGCATGTTTTCATTGGGTGTGCAAGTCCCCTGGTGCTGAATTAATTGCAGCGCAGCTGGTGAGCCAGCAGGCCATGGCGTCTACTGCTGCTCCTTCTCACCACCTGCATTGTCTCGTCCAGAGCAAGAGGCATGTGAACAGCAGGTTGCAGCACTGAAAAGGACTGCAAAGGTCTTTCCAGGGGACCCATGCTGGGGTGTAGGCCTTCAGCAAGTGCCTGGTCATGCCTACCCTGACACTGGCTCTGCCCTGATTCACAGTACATAGCTGCCGACCGCTCAGCCTGGGCAGCCCCAAGCTGCCAATCAGATAACAGCAGCAACATTTGATTTGTATGCCACTTTGCCACGAAAAGTCTCCAAAGTGGCTAAAAACACAACAGCAATACAAAAACAAGAAATAGGCAGCAACTTCAATCACCCTAGCCTATTGTTACAATAAACCAATCCAAGCAGTTAATGATGCTACTACTAACATTACAGCATTTCCAGTTAATTACAAAATACAGACCAATATCTATTATTTATCAGTAATGTGTAAGCTGGAAGCAAAGACACAAAAGATCGTATAGAT